TAGTACTTTGTCCTTAACAGGATTTTGTGATGCAGATTGGGCGGGTTGTCCTATTACACGAAGAAGCACTACTAGGTATTGCATATTTCTTGGTGCAAATTGCATCTCTTGGTTTTCAAAGAAGCAGCCTACTATAGCACGCTCTACTGCAGAAGCAGAGTATCGTGCTTTAGCCTCTACAATAGCTGAAATGGTATGGATTACTTATTTTCTTCGAGATATTGGAATTTCTCTACCTTCACCTTTGCAACTATTCTCGAACAACATAAGTGCATTACATATGTCTATTAATCTTGTGTTTCATGCTCGAACAAAGCAAATTGAACTAAATTATCATTTTGTTCGAGAAAAAGTGGCATTAGGAACACTTATCACCCGATATATTCCTAGTACTGAACAAGTTGCAGATATTCTTACTAAGCCATTGCCACGGCAACAATACCAGCTTTTACATTTCAAGCTTGGAGTGGTAGCTTCACCCCACTCCAGCTTGAGGGGGAGTATGAAGGCACAAGTACAAAATCAATCAAGGCGTGAGACCAGAGATAACGAAAACAAACAAGAAATCATTCACACAGCAGAAATTGAGGAAAGACAGAAGCAACATCTCTGAAAGCAACGATCAAATTATATTAGTAAAGCAATCTGTAGTTTCCTTAATTGTACCTCAATTACAACATCTAGATTAGCTCCTATAAGTGTATATATTGGTATATGCTTGTACAGAATATCATACAACTGAATATAGAATCAGTATTCTCCCAAAATCTTTATTCCATTAAACTCTTCACTTCTCTGCGCAATCTCCAGGTTCCCAGAAAACCACGAATTGATCTTATTGCTGTCAAGCTTCCCTGCAAGAAATCAGGAAAGTGGTCAAGGGATGTGGCTCAACTACACTTGCAACTAGCAGCTGCAAGGCTTGTTGCCTCAACTAAAGAGATTCATCCAGTGTGGGTGCTTTTTTTAACAGACTGCTTTCCAATCCTAAATCTTTTACTTGCAAGGACCTTGTTGCACGTGAGGGGAATGCATGGCTTTATGAACTAAACTTGCATAAGTTGAGAGAAAAGATAAGACTCTCATTTGGGTCATGTGAACACATTGTTCCTCTCAAAGCTAAAGGTTAGTTTTGAACTAGCTTCATTAAGTTACTTTGTTTGTTCACATGTTTTCTTCTGGTTTTAAGTTTCAATTGCTTGAAGAAGGTGAAAAACTAACTCCTGTTTTTTAACAAAGAACTTTTATTATGAAAGACAACATCGGGAAGCATATGCAACAATCTTTCATTCTGCACATGTATATGTTTGTGGAGCCATTGTTGCAGCTCAGAGCATCCGTATGGCAAGCTCCACAAGGGATCTCGCGATACTTGTTGATGAATCAATTAGTGAGTATCACAGAGGTGGCTTGGAGGCTGTTGGATGGAAAATTCATATAATCCAAAGAATCAGGAATCCAAAAGCTGAACCAGATACCTATAATGAATGGAACTACAGCAAATTTCATCTTTGACACTTGACAGATTATGACAAGATCGTTTGCATTGATGCTGACCTTCTTATACTTAGGAACATTGATTTCTTATTTGAGATGCTAGAAAGATCTGCTACAGGAAATAATGCCACACCAGTCAACTTAGGTGTGATGGTGGTTGAGCCATCAAACTGCACATTCCAACTGTTAATGGATCACATCAATGAGATTGAATCTTACAATGGTGGAGACCAGGGATACCTTAATGAAATCTTCACCTGGTGGCATCGGATCCCAAAACACATGAACTTCTTGAAGCACTTCTGGGAAGGTGATGAGGAAGAAATTAAACAAAAGAAGTTTCATCTATTTGTAGCTGACCCTCCAATCCTCTATGTCCTTCATTATCTGGGTAATAAGCCATGGCTATGCTTCCGCGATTATGACTACAACTGGAATGTGGACATTTTGCAAGAGTTTGCAAGTGATGTTGCACACAAAACCTAGTGGAAGGTCCAGAAAACTTGCAAAAGTTCTGCTTGCTTAGGTTCAACAGAAGGCAGCATTGGAGTGGGGTAGGAGGCAAGCTGAGAAAGCAAACTACACTGATGGCCATTGGAAAATTAAGATTAAAGACAAACGTTTGAAGATATGTTTTGAAGATTTCTGCTTTTGGGAGAGTATGTTGTGGCATTGGGGTGAAAAGAATTGGATAGATAATTCAACCACTATCCCTCCAACCCCAGTTACTACTAAGTCATCTCTTTCTTCATTTTGACATCTTTTCTTTATATGCATTTTCAAGGTAGAATACACAGTTATAAACAGTTACACCATGAACTCCAACTTCCATTCAAGGTTATTAAAATGCAGATTCGGTAGTAACTAATAATCATTCCAAAAAGGGAAACTAGAAGGATAGTTTAAAGCTTAAACTTTCCCATCATGTTTTAGGTTTAAAGCAGAACACAAGTGGATTAGGTGGCCAAAAACATTGAGAAACTGGTTTTTGTTTCATCAGCCCAGCACCGGTATTAAAGTGAATTCCTGGTCAGATTGCCCAAGACCAATCTAACAGATTTGAGCTTCACCCATTTCCTCCATCATGCTCGCCAGAATCATATTCTGCCTCGCCGTCATTCTAGCCTTTCTCACCGTAATCCTCCTCGCTTTGCTCTCTCCGGTAGCCCACAAAAACCCATCAAAAACCCACGCGGGACCTTGGCTTGCTCTCTCCCTCTACATCCAGCAGCCCCGAAGTCACCCCTCCGCTGCTCATCAGGTTACCCCACCGGACGCCGGCGGAGGAGCATTCATCTTCCACCGAGCTCTTACAGAGGGACCTGAGAACACGTCCCGGATAGTGGGGAGAGCCCAAGGATTCATTATCCCAATCGAAAAGTTCGCAGATTCAGAATTCAACATAATTTATCTCACTTTTGACACTACTAAGTACTCCGGCAGCCTAAGCGTTCTGGCCAAGCGGATACAACATAAAGACAGGGAGGAGTTGACAGTGGTGGGTGGAACAGGATCGTTCGCTTTTGCCCGTGGGCTGGCGGTTTTTGCACAGACCGAAGCTGATTCAGGGTCATCGGAGGTTGATGCCACTTACCATGTAAAACTTCATCTTAGTTTTCCCAATCGGTC